TTGAAATTTCCTAAATGCATTTTCCAATCCAAAATTTCTTTTTCCAGATATGGACTCTTTTGCTAAGAAATAGGCCAATCTGCATTCAAAGTTAAATAAAATATATGGCCTTCTGTTGATAGATGGAATTACACACTGATGGATTGTGGTTTTTATTTTACTTATAGAAATAGCGAAACTGAATATTCTGTTTGCAACACAACTATCATATATTCTAATTCAGACACAAGTGATGATACAACAATGCTCTTCGCCAAATTCTAATTCAAGCGAGCATAGCTTAGCTTGGGACCATGCCCGTGCAACAGTTATTGTCATCTTCATGCCCCATATAAGTTGCTTCTGTCATGCATAGAAGACAAAGACGCCATCAACAGCAGCGACACACATAGTGAGGTCATTGCCTGACAGGATTTTGCTTTGAGCTGCTTGGAGACATCCAGCGTCGTTGTATTCCTGCTTTATTGCCCTGTTTTTACACTGAAAATCTGAACATATGTAGTTGATTTCCAATATTCGATCGTACTGCAATATTTTTTGACTTGGTTATTTGTACATAGTACAAGCTTGAATATTGAAAAAAAATCTGTGCATTACTTTGTATGTGCATTTGCACACATGCATATGATAATTCACGTCAGATTTGTTATGTGCTCTGTTTGCCACCAAAGTTAAGTGCACCTCCTTATTTTCATATTACAATTTGAAGTCTTGTTTGAATAGCCCTATTTGTATTTGGTGGATTGTATCTATATACCATGTTAACAATAGATGTAACCTCATTTATTTTCACATTAATATTAAATGCCTCTTCAGTATATCAAAGCGATCTTTCTCTATGAGGAGCCTGCAGTTTGTGATGTTGAAATTTTTCTTTGGGCAAATACACTACATAAAAAACATTCTATGTTGAGCACCCTGCAAAGGCAGATATGTACTCGGCATAGTATTTGTTCAGTGTAAAACTCTATGAAGTGCACTTGTGAAAGATCGTGGATGTCGCCTAGAGGGGAGGGGGTGGATAGGCGTTTTAAAATAATTACGGTTTAGGCTTGAACAAATGCGGAATAAACCTAGCGGTTAATTTGCCAAGCACAAAACCTAAAACAACTAGGCTCACCTATGTGCACCAACAACTTATGCTAAAAAAGATAAGCAACTATGTGATAGCAAGATATATGACAAGAAACAATATGGCTATCACAAAGTAAAGTGCATAAGTAAAGGGCTCGAGTAAGAGATAACCGAGGCACGAGGAGACGACGATGTATCCCGAAGTTCACACCCTTGCGGATGCTAATCTCCGTTTGGAGCGGTGTGGAGGCACAATGCTCCCCAAGAATCCACTAGGGCCACCGTAATCTCCTCACTCTCTCACACAATGCAAGATGCCGTGATTCCACTAAGGGACCCTTGAGGGCGGTCACCGAACCCGTACAAATGGCAACCCTTGGGGGCGGTCACCGAACCCGTACACTTTGGCAACCCTTGGGGGCGGTCACCGAACCCGTCAAATTGCTCGGGGCGATCTCCACAACCTAATTGGAGACCCCGACGCTTGCCCGGAGCTTTGCACCACAATGATTGAGCTCCGAACACCAACAACCGTCTAGGGCGCCCAAGCACCCAAGAGGAACAAGCTCAAGGGTACCAAGCACCCAAGAGTAATAAGCTTCTCAACTTGCAACTTCCACGTATCACGTGGAGAACTCAAACCGATGCACCAAATGCAATGGCAAGGGCACACGGAGTGCCCAAGTCCTTCTCTCTCAAATCCCACCGAAGCAACTAATGCTAGGGAGGAAAATGAGAGGAAGAACAAGAAAGAGAACACCAAGAACTCCAAGATCTAGATCCAAGGGGTTCCCCTCACATAGAGGAGAAAGTGATTGGTGGAGACGTGGATCTAGATCTCCTCTCTCTTTTCCCTCAAAAACTAGCAAGAATCCATGGAGGGATTGAGAGTTAGCAAGCTCGAAGAAGGTCAACAATGAGGAAAGAACACGAGCTCAAAGGATAAGGTTCAAAGGGGAAGAAGACCCCCTTTTATAGGAGGGGGAAAATCCAACCGTTACCCCCCACTCAGCCCCGCAGATAGCGGTACTACCACGGAGGCAGGGCGGTACTACCGCTAATAAGCGGTACTACCGCCACTACTACCGCAGCAAGTGCCGCAAAACCCGACACGAGAAAAAGCGCACTCGAGTCGAGGCGGTAGGAGCACGGAGCCGCAACGGTACTACTACTGAGACCATCAAGCGGTACTACCGCTGTGGCCCGTGGTACTACCGCTGCGGAGCGGTACTGCCGCTTGTGACTCCTCAGCGGTACTACCGCTGGGACCCTGACAAAAACCACACTCAAGAAAATCAGAACTGCCATAACTTCTGCATATGAGCTCCGAATTGAGCAAACTCAAGCTTGTTGAAAACAAGACGACGAGTAGCATTAAAACAGCGACTGGTTATAGTAAGAAGAGGCAGGGGAGGAATGCCAACAAATAGAGGAGTGAAACCTCCAACCGAGAAGAACCGGCAAAACCTCTACCATCGAAAACATCATAGAAGAAGCATGCGAACTCCGTTTTCGATGAACTCAAGCTTGTCATCAAGATGACCATAAGCTCTAAGACTCACAGAGAGAACCAAACAAGAACCAAGAAAGATGGTGCAAGCATGCAATGGTTTGAGCTCTCTACGAACGATACGATCAAGCTACTCATCGAGAGCCCCCCTTGATAGTACGGCAATCGATCCTATAACCCGGTCTCCCAACTACCATCATGAGACCGGTAAAATAGAAAACCTATCAAGGGCAAACCTTTGCCTTGCACATGGTCCACTTGAGCTAGATGATGACGATCTTGACTTCCTCAAGTTGGACCACCTTTCTTGATTGTGTTGGCACGATGAAGACTAGATGATTGCTCCCCCATAGACCACTATGGGTGAGCCACTCTTCGGCACATCTTCACAAGTCCATTATCACCACAATGGCCGGCAAGCTTCAAGCACTTGATCTCTTCGCGATGATCCACTTGAACTTGCACACGGCAATCTTGATGACGATCACCACTTGATGTCATCCTCTCCATGGGTTGAGAGATATCTTTCTCTTGACACAAGCCCATGAACATGCACCTAACCCCACGTAGAACTCTCACATAGACCATGGGTTAGTACACAAAGCATGGACAATGCTTACCAAACCATGGGATCACTTGATCCCTCTCGGTACATCTTCTATGCTTTGTGAGTTGATCAACTTGATTCACTCTTGACTTAGTCTTGATCAACCTTGAATCTTTCCAACTCTCTTCGTTTGGATGATGTCTTGAAGGTAAACATGAATGATCACACAATCTTCTTCTTCAAGATATGCTTGCAATAAGCTCAACTCTCAAATGATCAATCTTTGGATAATTCCTTGAATAGCACCTTGGTCGACACAAACTCTTCTTGAAACCAACACATGTACTCCAAGAAAAGCCTATGGACAAAACCTTCAAATATAACTCAAGGCAACCATTAGTCCATAGAGATTGTCATCAATTTCCAAAATCAAACATGGGGGCACCGCATGTTCTTTCAACTTGGCATACACCTAGCATGGTGTTTACTGAATGTATTTATTGGTTTTTGAAAGAAATCTTAAGATTCTTATGTTCAACTATAATTTATCTCCGAAAGCTCATTCTAGAATACTTATATATAGATTCCCATTTATGAACATTTTTTAAAAATTATACTAGGACATGGATTTTAAATTTTGGGTACTTTGAGCATATTCACATTTATATTTGATGAGGGACATGTGTGATGAGGGACATGTGCGTGCACGTGCATGATTACTAGTCCAAAGTAAACCTGAGCTCCCACCACTTACATTTAAGTTGCATGCATGACACAGGCCCGCCTGTCGATGGCCGTCACCCAAGCGTCATTTTTTAATACCGAAGTCATGGACCGGTCGTCCACATCCTTGTCCCCATTTGCATCTTCGACGCTTCCACACTCTTCCTACCCCTCGAGCCCCGACCAGTCCTAGAGCATGCCGTCGTCCGCCATAGCCAAGCCGGAGAAGCACGACCGTGAGGCGGGGTCTTCTTCAGGCCCGCGAGGCTCACGTGACATCATCAACTTCACCATTGCCCCACGCGCCGATGCGACACGGATACGCCCGTATGTGGAGATGAAGGTGTGCTAGCGCTACTGCGACACCTCCCCCCCACTGTTGTGGCCAGACGCCCACCTGCCAACCAGCTGGCATATGAGCCCGGATCGGGTGCCAGTGTTGGCCATTCGGGCGAGTGCGCGGCTTCTCGAGATCAACCGCCGCCGGGGCTCGTTGCCGCTAGACCTCGCCGATGATCCCAGGCACGTCGTCACGTCCTCGCTTTGGGACACTTGATTCCGGGATGAGCACTATATGCCCTAGAGACAATCATGTGATGAAATTTTCCTATGTATTCATGAGTCTTTTGTATTGTCCTTGAACATCATCAGTGATATGTATCAATAACTATGTGACTTGTTTGTGGAAATATATTTTTGTATGGTGGTTGTTTTAATGGTCCCTAATTGATGAGGTTATGTCAACACATATCCTTTGACTAGTATACGCCGATTGATGACTATGTTTCATAAGTTATGAGCATAGAGATGCTAAACCGATAGTATGGACTCGGGGATAAAGATCACCGAGTCGAATAGACCCACTTTGAGACGCAACTAGATATTGTCATCTCTAAGTCTTAAGTACAATGTATATGCCATGTCCTACACATGATGTCCTCGCATGCTCTCCGGACGAGGATCGACTCACTTAGAGTCTATCAAACGTTGCTCCGTAACTGGGCGGGTAGTTATAAAACCGGTGCAATTGGCGGCCAAGAGGCGACGGTTGTGCGAGCGGCGTCCACCCATGCCGCGAGCATCAATGACGAGGGCGGCGGGCGGTGCACCTGGGGTTGCAACCATGGGGCGGCGAGCGTCGACGGCATGGGCGCTGGCGGCGCATCGGTGCTGCAACCATTGGACAAACAAACTGCAACTGCTTTTGGCCGCTGCTATGAGGCGGCGATGTCGGAGCAACGATCCATCCACGATAGGAGTTGCAACACAAGCTAGTGATGGTGAGGGATGCGGACGACGGTGGGTGCTGCTTTGACGACAACAGTGAGGTTGCAATCACCACCAACGACGAGGCCTCACACGTCCATGGCAGTTGGGTCGGCGACTCTCACTATCACTCTCCCTCCCGTGTGCGATGATGTGAGGGGGGAGGGGAAGGGAAGGGTCGCGAGAAGGGATCAAAGCGGGGCTTGATCCGACGCTTGAGAGACAACGCAACATACGCTCGAGATGTGACCGGCTGGGGGAATGGCGCCAGTCGACCGGCGTCTGGTGCGGCCCTTTTTATCTGAACCATGTGTAAGTTTTCGACCGGCATCTAGCGCAGTCTTTTTTGTCCGAATCCTGTGTAGGTTTTCCGCTGAGAGGGGTAAGAAGGGTCCGATTGTAGATGCTCTTTTATTACTTGTATATATATAAAAAATTGTTCCTGTCTTAACGTACGTGTACCACCGATCCATGTGGAAGTGGAAACCCGAAAAACCACAGGCGAGACGCCTCCGTCGGCACCCGGCGCATGGACCGACCCTTCGCGGTTCCTTCTCAGGCGCGGCCGCTGGCGCCGCTCCTGGGTTCGACCCGGGCTCGACCAGCGACCGCGTCGGTTGCCGTCTCTTGTCCCTTCCCCTCTCCCTCCCTCCACGCGGTCCAGACCAGCCAAGACCAACAAACCGCTCCAAAAGAAAAGAGAAAAGAACACCTTTCTATTTCCCACTTTCTTTATTTTTCCTTCTGGAACGAGGAGCCAGAAGAAACACACACCGGAGCCGCGCCGGAGCCGTCCGCCGTGCCGGCCGCGAGCCAGCGCACCGCCGGGCCCCCGCCCCGCCCCTCGGAGGGTGGAGGAGAGGAGAGGGAGGACGAGGACGAGGAGGAGGCCCCAGGAGTCCCGCGGGGGAAGCTTCTAGAAGCTGCCGGAGGCGGAGCGGGGGCGAGGGCAGCGCGATCTCGCCCGAGCCTGCCGCGCGGAGGAGGCGCCGGGCGGGGCGCCTCCCGGGTGCCGGCGCCCCCCGTGACTTGAATGGAAGGCAGATCTCGAGGGCGAGGGGAGCTTCTAGAAGCGGGCTGAGGAGGCGCGGTTAGTTCGTTAGGGTTTGGCCTGGCGGTGGGGGGCGGGGCGGGATGGGGGGAGGCTCGGAGGGAGGAGGAGACGCGGACGAGGGCTGCTGCAGCGTCGGGGACACCTCGCCGGGGACCATCGTGTGGGTGCGCCGGAGGAACGGCTCCTGGTGGCCCGGCAGGATCCTGGGCCAATCCGAGCTGCCGCCGTCGCAGATCATGTCTCCAAGGTCCGGCACGCCGGTCAAGCTTCTCGGCCGCGAGGACGCCAGCGTGTAAGTTTTCAACTCCTGCCTTTTTGCTTGTCTTCTCAAGAAGAAGAAGGCGCCCTGTCAAGTTCGATTAGCACTTGTTTCTGATGCTTTTGGGACGCTGAGTTTGGAACTTTGATGGAAGAAACAATGCCTAGGCAGAGTCTAACTGCTATCACTAAGAGTAGCATTTGTCCATGAAATCAGCCAGTTGAGTCCTAAATCCTGCTACAACTCCAATGAAGTTTCGTTCGAGGAGCCTGGGAGGTGGCTACGCCTCTGGTTGTACCAGGAAATCTTATTTTCATGCTCGCTGTTAAGCTCGCTACCAGTTTATTTGCGTTCTGTGCATGCATTTTGAGATGAAATTTAGAGCTGTTCACATCATACATTAGGCCATCTCCAACGCCCGGCGCTAGGAGAGGGCGTCAGGGAATATTTCCCAGTCGATCGGCAGTTGCATCATCAATTCCTGGCGTCTGATGCGGCATTGGCGCAAAATCTTGCCACGAGCGGTTGTCAATTTTTTCCACACGAGAAGAGACAAGAAGCGCTATTTCTAATTGTGTTTTTTGCGAATATATTTCTAATCAAAGTAAAAAAAGCGCTAGGCATCAATTGTATGTTTTCCCAGCGCCTTGTGTTCTTCTGACTAAAGCGCATGCTTAAACACAATTATGCGCACGTTAAGCACTAGGTGTTTTGCTAGAGCCTAGGCGTGCTTAAGTGCCCGCCTAGGCGTGCTTAAGTGCCCGCCTAGGCGTGCCTTGTTGAACTATGTTTCTAATCGTGATTAGTGCCGGCGGTTAGCGCCTAGCATTGGAAGAGAGACACTGGTATATATCTTTTCCTGTTTAAGCGCCTAGATAAGTGCCAACGATTGTAGATGCCCTTACATAGTTGTTGCACGTTCAAACCGTTAAATTGTTATTTTTTGGGGACCTTGCACGGCTGTTTTTAATTGTATCCTGTAGCTAGGTATTTAGTGAAAATTATTTGTTTTACGAAGGCTGAATGAATAAAAAAAAGTTGATGCCAATTTGTTTCACCCCTTATTTCTGAAGCACCTGAATCATATTTGATTACGTATTATACGGTTCGTATATTGTTTCTGTGTTTGGTTTGTTGATTTTGTAGGAAACAATCAATTGATTTTATTTGTTTGCGTATCTCATAGAAAACAGTAGTTTTGTAGAAACCAAACAGGAGGGAGGGAAACCTACTAATCTTCTGCTCAAGTGAAATAGTAATGTTTAATATTTTGTCAGTTACTATTAAGCATATTTCTTGAAAAGTCGCAAACTAGTTATTTTGCTAATCCGTATTCTGAATAGCAGACACATATTTATTACAGTTTGAGCTTAGTTTCCTGTTCTATTTCGCTGGGACTGTTTTCTTCAGGAATTAATAGCTGTTAATATCTTTTGTTCTTTCCCCATGCACTCAACTAGTGTAAATTTGTCTTTCCACATCTTCAAAGTTTCTGAGTTATGACAAATTCTTCATTTTGTATAAACTTTTCATCCTCTTATTTTTTCACAGTGACTGGTACAACCTTGAGAAATCAAAGCGCGTTAAAGCATTTAGGTGTGGGGAGTTCGATGCCTGCATTGAGAGGGCAGAGGCTACTCAAGGGACTCTTTCGAAGAAAAGAGAGAAATATGCACGGAGAGAAGATGCCATTCTTCATGCCCTTGAATTAGAGAGGAAACTGCATCAGACTCAAGGTTTCAGACCTGCCTACTTTTCTGGTACGCCCTCTTAGATTGACAACGTTAAATAAGCTTTTTTCATCCTTTAGTTACTTAAATAGGATGTATGGATATGATAAAGCTGACATGAAATGCAGCTTGCACGAAACATCGCAAAGACCTTGGAAGTACTCGCTACAAGAGCAAAAAGAGGAAAAGAAAAGATGTATCTGCTCTTCCTGCAAAAAAAGAAGCTGGGCAGTATTTTCTCAATGCCGGTTTGAAGATAAACTTTTCAGAGTCGCAGGGCACCTCAGAGAATCTTATCAGTAACCACATTGGAGACTTATCCCATGTGAGACATATTCAGGGTGGAGCAAGTTTAGAGAGCAAGGAGAATTGTACAATTGTGAAAAAGAATAGATCGGATGGAAGTGATTTCGATGAATCTATTGAAAAATGTGACAGACACCGACCACTTGTTCAAGTCTTGCAGAGCAGTGCAAACTTGACGCAGCACTCGCCGCACAATGATGATTATGGGGCTATCTTAATTGGGGGAGATAAAGATCCATCACCTGCCACCTATCGGGCTAAAAGAAGTATATATGCATACCTGCCTAGTGATTCTGGTGAAACTCATAGTCATAGTGATTTACCTTCTGCTCAAATGGTTTCTACAGGAGCTGATTTTGACACCGAAAGTTATCTTCAGCATCCAGATTCCTCTTCTGAGGAACATACATCTTCAGACTTTGTTGAGAAACACGTATCTGAGTCTTCAGAGAGGGAATGCTCAGAAAGTGAAACAGAAGATGATACGGAGCTTTTGCAAAGTACGTGTGTACCCCTTGTTAACTTCCCTCTTTTCATTGTTAAGTAGTAGGACTGTATGTGAATTCACATTGCTAAATATGGTAACAGATAATTTTTGCATCACCCAGCGTACATGCTGCCAACATTTTATAGTTGTAGCATTGAAGTATCCAAATCAAATTTGACAAAGGAAAACATGTACTTCTCACACCCCAACTATTTCCTGACTGCACGTACCCACCTGAACAATAAAACAGGACAAATGTAATCATCAACTTTCAAAACTAGGTAAAATGTCCCTGGCAGACTATTCTAAAGCGGCTTTGATCATTTCAATGTGGTTCTAGGCAACATGGCGCCTACATGTCTGCCACATTAGGCTTCCTGTCTAATAAAAGTCACTGCATAATGGATTTAGTCAGAGAATTAGATAGCCTTTCATGCTAATATCATCCTCCTTGTTATGTCACTATAGATCATTAGTTTCAAAAGGTGCAGCTAACAGCTGAAGTCTACTCATTTTTTTTAAATCTGCATAGATTTTCTTTCTTAAAGATGGTGTCACAAATGTTTGGTTTGTGCAGATGCTTTGGCTTGTGGCTAGAACATTGCTGTCTAATCACATAGTCCCATATATCTTCTTTAAACACAATCCAAACTTGGTAGGTTAGACCAAGTGCCCAAGAGGGTAATTTTTGCACTTCTGACTGTGATCCACCTAAATACCGCATAATCGACCCACCTGTATATGTCCTTGAGCACTTGAATCATTCATGAAGTGTAGGGGTTTCCATTTATTAATTTATGTGCACAACACAGTTAAGTGCACTGGATAATTGGTAAGTAAGAGGAATACATGTTGGACAACATGCCCATGCCCAAAACTTCATATGTATGATGGGGCAGTATGATTTTTTTCATGACTCGTGACTAATTACTCGTTCCGAATGGGGCATGTCAACAATAAATCAGAGCTGTTGTATGGTAGAATGTGATTACATGAGACAAGCATGCTATGTTAAAAGGAAAGATCTAAATATAAACCATTAGATGGATTAAAAAACTCTATCAATGGACAGTAGCACCTTTGGAATTTTTAGTTAGAAGAAACTAGTGTGAGCTCACTCTGCGGAGCCTGCGGAGGCAGTCTTGGCACAGCGGTAAAGCTGTTGCCTTGTGACCATGAGGTCACGGGTTCAAGTCCTGGAAACAGCCTCTTGCAGAAATGTAGGGAAAGGCTGCGTACAGAAGACCCAAAGTGGTCGGACCCTTCCCCGGACCCGCAAGCAGGAGCTACGTGCACCGGGCTGCCCTTGTTAAGAAACTAGTGTGAGCTCACCCTGCGGAGTCCAAGCCTCGAACCTGGGTGGTCTGGGCACGCACTCGCACCTCTAGCCAACTGAGAGCTCACCCTGCAGTAATGTTTGGTTAGCCATTAGATAACTTGATCGGATGGTTAGAGATAATGTTATCATAGCATTATAAAAGTACAGGTTTCAAATTCACAAGGATGAGTCACCTTGTGTGTGTGACCAAGCTCTTATATGACAACAAACTCATTGAGCTATTTATGTTAGATGAATCCTGTCAAACATGGAATATTGCATTGTGTGGTTCAAGAACAAGTCTGGCTCTCCACTTTGGAAAGCTTTACGCACTTTCTTCCTTTTTTAACACAGCTGTTCACATCTCTCTCCCCTTCTCTCCACCACGATTTCAAAACACCATTCCCTTCAGCTTCACCGTTACTGCACTGTGCACTTCTCTTCCCAATATGCCACCTTAATTTTGAGAAACAAGTGAACTAATGATGGTTGTTTATATACAATAACTTGAGTCAAATGTTGGTGTTCATGCACATCACATCGTGCCCCATTGGTGTTTCACTAGACAGAAAGATTTCGATAACTTGCTTTAAATAAATAGAACGTACCTATTTTGTGATACATGTTTTACTATAGCTAAGCCTTCATTATTACTGCGGTTCAGAATCTCTTACTGTACCTTGTTATTTTGTTCTAGTTCTCTGTGGAGTTTTGAATTTTTCCTTGTTTGATCACCTTTCTTATGGTGTTCTTATGAACAGGTGCTAATAGGATTCTGCCTCCAGAGTTACGCCCCCGTGATCCTTATTTCCTTCGGACTTCTGACAGGTTTGGACATGTGGATAATTATGATGATGATGATGATGACAATGAGGTCGCCTATTCTGCTTATATGCATCAATTGAATCAATCAGAGGAAGAGGATGGTTCTTCTGAGCAGGGTGTCTCCCGCTGGCATATAAAAGGTAAACGTAATAACCGTAGTGCAGTGAAGAAATCAACCCATATGACGGATGGAAAATCCTGTTTGGATAAACCCAATGGTCTCATGAAAGGATCTGTGTACAACACAAATGGTATAAATCATAGAAAAGAGAGTGTGCAGACATCCGATCAGCAAGTGCTTAGTAACCAAATCAAAGAGGAGCCCCACTATGATTCTGATGAAACAGATCTATTCGAGGGCACAAGCCACCCTGAGGTTAACTTGTATCATAGTCGAACATACCCATCATCCTTGAAAGCTACAAGAGATCTTAGCCGAAGCTATATCTATTATAATGACTATGAAAATGATTCTTCCAAGATTTCTCCACCTAACTGGGATACAGATCAGATATTTCGTGTTGATCGGAAGGCATATTGGGACGAACCTTCATTTTACCAAAGAAATGGCAGTTCACGTTTGGGTCGCATGGGCCCAATGTTGTTTGATATTGACTTGAAGGTCCAAGCCAGCTACCATGGAGAGCATGTTCCTCTTGTTTCCTTGATGAGCAGACTGGATGGCAAAGCAATTGTTGGACACCCTATCCAAATTGAAATACTTGTTGATGGTTCCACTGACCACCTGGTTTCTGGTGGTGATATTAGTATGGAAGAGAGCACAGGAGCTCCAACTGCCTGGCATACAGGCAGGAGGACAGCCATGCAAAGAATTCCCCGTTCTAATCCTTTAGGAGCATCAATGGACTGTGGCAATGAAGGCAGGCTTGCATATCCAGACTGGGAAATGAAACCAGTCTTCAGTAAATACTCAACTTCCGCAAATCACCAGGTTAAGGGTGATAAGAAAAGCATGTCAAATAGTAAGAAGAGGTCATCGGCATCCAAATCTCAAAAGAAGCCATCCAAGAAGGCAAGTCTGTCAAGCCAGAAGGTCAGAACCCTCTCTTCCATTCCCACTGGAAGAAGGCATCATGGAGGTGGCACTCAAGCAAAGCCGCGTACGCACAGTGGCATTTTCGGTGACTTGATCAAACCAGACAGAGCAATTCCACCAGTTACATGTGTCCCTGCAAAGGTTGTGTTCACAAGGATACTGGAAGCAGTTGGTAGGCCACCTCTAGCTGCTGCTCGCCGTGTGAGAATGGTTAGTCCTGAGGCACAAGATCCAACATAGGAATCAACAGGAATGCCAAGTATGGTTGGTATCTGTGTCCTGCAAGTTCCATGTACATTTATGTAAATTGAAGAGTCAAGCTATTCAATCATTTGGGCTGCATCATTTGGATAACTCAGGGATAGCTGCGCTCTTCAACAGTAATGACAACATCAACATGTAAAGATCGGTAACGGTTATATACTTCTAACTGGAGGTTGAGATCAATTAGGCTCTCAACACGAGTGCTTCTCAGTTCTCGGACAACAGTTCAGCCAACGACCTCCACTAAGGGGGAGCATCCTTTAGAAGGGCGCAACTAGCGTTGGTAACCATGGCTTTTGGCAGTGTCTCCTGTAAAGTACTAACTTCAGCATTTTAGGATGTCTATTTATATAAACTTCTGTATCGTCATGTAGTCAATAGGCCATATATTTCCTGATGTCATGTATAAGTCCTCAATTGTATTCTCACCAGATCTCCGTGTTATTTATTGTCGATGGTTAATAGGTCCTCCGACTATGTTTGGAAGAATGTGTAGTAAGTTGATGTAATATGTGAGAACTACACCGGTCACCAAATGATGTTAACAGTAATTTTCTCTGTGAAGTTTACGTGAATACTCGTGTTTTGTTCGTGTATCCACTCTGATCGATACATTTCAAGCTGTGGTGTTTTGCTCTTTATCAAACCTCAACATCTGTTGTTTCAATCTACTTCCTCCGTTCCGAATTACTTGTTGCAGGTATGGATTTATCTAGATGTATTTTAGTTTTAGATACATCTATTTTTCTGTGATGAGTAATTTGGAACGGAGGGAGTGTTAGGAATAGGCAACTTGTATTTCCATGAGGTCATAGGCCGATATATATATATACATGTACAGGTGTGGAACATATGCAGGAAATCCCTTATACAACGGGATAAATACAAAGGGGTACATGACTTATATTATAACTTTAACATCCCCCTCAAACTCATGGTGGATAAACAACACTGAGTTTGGAGAGATAAAAGCCATGTTGTGCTCTAGTGTGGGCCTTCGTCAGGAAATCCGCCAACTGTAACTCGGAAGGCACATACTGAAGAGCAATAACCTGATCCTGCACACCAGCGCGCACATAGAAAGCATCAACACCAATAAGCTCATGCTTCACAGGATCGCGCGCAATGCTGATAGCACCTGTACTGTCAGATAAGAGCAGAGTCGGTGTAGTGACAGAAACACCAAAATCCTGAAGTAACCACCGTAACCAAGTCACCTCTGCCGTCAAAAGAGCCATTGCTCGCAACTCAGCCTCGGCACTCGAACGGGAAATTGCAAGCTGTTTCTTCGTCTTCCAGGCAATGAGAGAACCACCAAGAAAAACACAGTAAGAAGAAAGTGAACGGCGATCTGAAGGATCACTAGCCCACGTAGCATCCGAATAGGCCTGAAGCTGTAAAGAACTGGAGCGAGGAAAGAAGAGACGGTGAGAGATCGTGCCTCGAAGGTATCGGAGAACACGAAGGAGATGACTATAGTGAACCGATGTGGGAGCAGAGACAAACTGACTCAGAATATGAACCGGATAAGAGATGTCCGGACGAGTGACAGCTAGATAGACAAGACTGCCAACAAGATGACGATAACGCGTCGGGTCAGGGAGAGGATCACCATCAGTAGCACGGAGGTGAACATTGAGCTTCATAGGAGTCTCAACAACGCGCTCGTCAGTAAGAGCAGCACGAGCAAGAAGATCCTGGATATACTTTTCCTGGGATATAAAAAAGTCATCAGAGGTAGAAGAGACTTCAATCCCAAGAAAGTAGCGAAGAGGTCCAAGATCAGACATAAGAAACTGCTCACTAAGACGGGCCTTTACAAAGGCAATATACTCGGGGTCATCCCCCGTGATGATCATGTCATCAACATAGAGAAGAAGAAGAGTCCGATCACGAGGAGAAAGGTGAATAAACAATGCTGGATCATGAGCACTTGCTGAAAAACCAGCAGCAGTGATCACAGAGGCAAAGCGCTCAAACCAGGCGCGGGGGGCTTGCTTAAGGCCATAGAGAGAGCGACGAAGACGACATACCATGCCATCAGGAACAGAATACCCAGGTGGTGGCTGCATGTACACCTCCTCACGCAGCTCACCATTAAGAAAGGCATTCTTAACATCAAGCTGAGATATAGACCAGTGGCGTGCAGAGGCAACAACAAGAAGTGTACGAACAGTGGTCATATGGGCCACAGGAGCAAAAGTCTCGTCATAATCACGACCGTGCTCCTGCTGAAAACCACAAGCCACAAGACGAGCTTTGTGACGCTCAAGAGAACCATCGGAGCGAGTCTTAACCTTGTAGACCCACTTACAAGTGATCGGACGGACTCCGGGAGGAAGAGAAACAAGATCCCAGGTACCAGTGCGTTCAAGAGCAGCAATCTCCTCTGCCATCGCAAACTGCCATTCAGGATGAACAACAGCCTGACGGTAAGAAGTCGGCTCAAGAACAGCAGCACCAGCGGTGGGAAATCCAAAGCGATCAACAGGCGGACGAGGACGAGAACGCAAGCCATAAGTAGGCTGAGAGGAAGATGACGACTCATCCATAGAGGCATCGACTGGTCGTGGACGACGAGTGTAATGCTGAGGAAAAACCCTCTCATAAGCACGACCATGATATGTCTGAAGAGCCTCCTCATAAGCCAAAACCCTCTCATCATAAGCACGATCAGCAGCCTCATCAGCAAGCTTAGCCGTGTTGGGGAACGTTGCAGAAAACAAAAATTTTCCTACTCGTTTCACCAAGATCATCTAGGAGTTCATCTAGCAACGAGTCATTGGATGCAACTACATACCTTTGTAGATCGTGAGCGGAAGCGTTCAAAAGAACGGTGATGATGTAGTCGTACTCGACGTGATCCAAATCACCGATGACCAGCGCCGAACGGACGGCACCTCCGCGTTCAACACACGTACGGGATGGGAGACGTCTCCTCCTTCTTGATCCAGCAAGGGGAAAGGAGAGGTTGATGAAGATCCAGCAGCACGACGGCGTGGTGGTGGATGCAGGGCGTCACAGCAGCAGGGCTTCGCCGAGACTACGAGGGAGAGACGTAACGGGGGGAGGTGGAGGCGCCAGGGGCTGGTGTAAAATCCCTCCTCTCCCCCCACTATATATAGGGGTGCCAGGGGGGGCGCCGGCCCTAGTAGATGGCATCTACTAGGGGGGGCGGCGGCCAAGGGGAGGTTTCCCTCCCCCCCAAGGCACCTAGGGGTGCCTTCCACCACATGGACTCTTCCATGGTGGAAACCCTAGGCGCATGGGCCTATAGGGGCTGGTGCCCTTGGCCCATCTAGGCCAAGGCGCACCCCCTACAGCCCATGTGGCCCCCCGGGACAGGTGGCCCCACCCGGTGGACCCCCGGGACCCTTCCGGTGGTCCCGGTACAATACCGATAACCCCGAAACTTGTTCTGATGCCCGAAATAGCACTTCCTATATATAATTCTTTACCTCCGGACCATTCCGGAACTCCTCGTGACGTCCGGGATCTCATCCGGGACTCCGAACAACATTCTGGTTTCTGCATATACATATCTTCATAACCCTAGCGTCACCGAACCTTAAGTGTGTAGACCCTACGGGTTCGGGAGACAAGTAGACATGACCGAGATGACTCTCCGGTCAATAACCAACAGAGGGATCTGGATACCCATGTTGGCTCCCACATGCTCCACGATGATCTCATCGGATGAACCACGATGTCGAGGATTTAATCAATCCCGTACGCTATTCCCTTTGTCTATCGATATGTTACTTGCTCGAGATTCGATCGTCGGTATCCCAATACCTCGTTCAATCTCGTTACCGGCAAGTCACTTTACTCGTACCGTAATGCATGATCCCGTGACCAGACACTTGGTCACTCTGAGCTCATTATGATGATGCATTACCGAGTGGGCCCAGTGATACCTCTCCGTCATACGGAGTGACAAATCCCAGTCTTGATCCATGTCACCCAACAGACACTTTCGGAGATACCCGTAGTCTACCTTTATAGTCACCCAGTTACGTTGTGACGTTTGGCATACCCAAAGCACTCCTACGGTATCCGGGAGTTACACGATCTCATGGTCTAAGGAAAAGATACTTGACATTGGAAAACTCTAGCAAACGAACTATATGATCTTGTGCTATGTTTAGGATTGGGTCTTGTCCATCACATCATTCTCCCAATGATGTGATCTCGTTATCAATGACATCCAGTGTCCATAGTCAGGAAACCATGACTATCTGTTGATTAACGAGCTAGTCAACTAGAGGCTCACTAGGGACATGTCGGTGTCTGTTATTCACACATGTATTACGATTTCCGGATAACACAATTATAGCATGAATAAAGACAATTATCATGAACAAGGAAATATAATAATAATGCTTTTATTATTGCCTCTAGGGCATATTTCCAACAGTCTCCCACTTGCACTAGAGTCAATAATCTAGTTACATTGTGATGAATCGAACACCCATAGAATTCTGGTGTTGATCATGTTTTGCTCTAGGGAGAGGTTTAGTCAACGGATCTGCTATATTCAGGTCCGTATGTACTTTACAAATCTCTATGTCTCCATCTTGAACATTTTCACAAATGGAGTTGAAGCGACGCTTGATGTGCCTTGTCTTCTTGTGAAACCTGGGCTCCTTGGCAAGTGCAATAGCTCCAGTGTTGTCACAGAAGAGCTTGATCGGCCCCGACACATTGGGTATGACTCCTAGGTCGGTGATGAACTCCTTCACCCATATTGCTTCATGTGCTGCCTCCGAGGCTGCCATGTACTCCGCTTCACATGTAGATCCCGCCACGATGCTTTGCTTGCAACTGCACCGGCTTACTGCCCCACCATTCAAAATATACACGTATCCGGTTTGTGACTTAGAGTCATCCAGATCTGTGTCGAAACTAGCGTCGACGTAACCCTTTACGACGAGCTCTTCGTCACCTCCATAAACGAGAAACATTTCCTTAGTCCTTTTCAGGTACTTCAGGATATTCTTGACCGCTGTCCAGTGTTCCTTGCCGGGATTACTTTGGTACCTTCCTACCAAACTGACGGCAAGGTTAACATCAGGTCTGGTACACAGCATGGCATACATAATAGAACCTATGGCTGAGGCATAGGGGATGACGCTCATC